CAGCAGTGTATTTCGTGAGTCTGACTATTCTGTTCCACGTTCTGGTGAATTCTCTCACTCTCTCGCGCTTCTGACTGTACCCAGTGCTTGTATAAATAAATAAATATTTTTTTAAAAAAATAGTTAAAGAGAAACTGTCTACAAGGCCTGAAAAGCACTGTCTCATGCCCAGTGATTAGGGAGGTGGCACTTGCCTTCTTTCCTGGTAGAATCTGGTCTCTGATCTCTGGCATGTAAATATGTAACAATGGCCAAGAAAATAGTGACACACATAAACATGTTAAGCCAACATTAACAACCTCTATGATAACTGAAAGTTATTTTAATTATACATGAAGCAAAACAGTATCAGACATTTCACTTGAGATCATCTTTTAAAAAAAAAGTTCTGCAGTCTTTGGTCAGCATTTGTAAAAGGCATTCAACACTGTCACTTGTTTGAATGTCTGTTTCGCTGCCAATAGACTGTCCCCAAAAGAACATTTTTGCATCTCAAAAGACTGTCCAGTATCAACAATCTTTAAACTATAACTTAACCACGGCTAAAGAAGCTAGGGAATAGCATCTGCTTTGTACTGTCTTGGTATCACATTTACAAAATGATCAAATAATCATACTACTTTGCACTTATCAACAACCCTGCATCTGACAATCTCAAATGGCCTCACAAACATTAATTAACTAAGCTGCACAGTACTCCTGTGAGAAGGGCAGGCGTTAGCATCCTCTCAAAGGGAGAGATGATCAGAGGAACTGGGAACCCTTCCTTTGAAGGTCAGTGACTCAACTTGGAACTCAACTCCCACAGTCCATGGCTGAGCATCAACTTCCAACTCAACCAGTGCAAAGTATACACGCTCAACCGGATAAACCTAGCGAAATAAAATTTACAACAAAAACTGATATCATCTCAAAAATATTTCTTTCCCCCCTAGATGCATTAACAAAATAGGTTGCTGACTAGCTTTTGAACCTAGGAAAAATGTGCGTCAAATTATCTGTCTGTGAGATTCTATTCTGACAAATGACACCAAGTTTAGTGGAATGTTGACTTGTCATAACCTCCCCAAAAGATTTACCAACTATACTTAATTATATGTCTGAGTTTCACTAACAAATAAAAAAATGCACTTGATATTGGCAAATCGTTGTGGAATTTAATGACATATTTTTCCCTTATTCATGTGGCTATCAGAAAACAAAACTTTCTAAATTAAAAAAAAAAAATTTAAGGGTCAATTACAAGAATAAAACCAGGATTTCTTATCCAGGAAATAGTAACTTTCATATAGCTGCATTCGCATAAAAGTCTAAGTACAAAATTAATAAGTACTTTTGTGGAAATATACATTAAAAGAGAAACTGGTCAGAAGGATCTGGGATTATACTACCTCTGACTACCTTAGTTTGAAATGAGGGAGAAACATCTATTTGAATATGTAAAACCAATTAACTGTGGCTTTAAGTACCTGCAATGTTAAATATGTTCAGTTCTTCACAGAGGTAATTTCAAGTATAAATGAAAACTCTGGGTTTTCAAGAACATTACTGGAACTTATACATGTTTTATAAAATCTACAAATTTTAAGAGTAACAATTAAAAATTTTATATAAACTTGACTCTATCCAGCTAAGAATCTAAAGGCTTTAACATTTCTTCTTAGCCATAAAAGAAAAATCCAATCATTTCATAAATATTGTGTACTTCCTATACAACAGAAAACCTAATTTTCATAAAGCAGTTTATAAGGCAAAGCTCATGTTCATGAACTTCCTGACACATTCAAAACACAATGGCCAACTCAGGTCACATATACTATTTACAATTTTTATAACAAAATCATTCCATGCTAGTAACTAGGAAAATATAAAAGCATTCACTATGTGAACACAGAAAGGATCTGCTATTGAACACAAAACAAAAAGCCAAACACTCGCTTATGCAAAAGAAAAAAGAAATGAAAAGAACTAATGAAGAGAATATTTAGAAATTTTAGCTCTTTTATTTGACTCTTTCCTTCCTCATTTCACTGAATACAGAAAAATTTCATAACTAAAACTAGTATAAAACCTGTATCAGAAGAACAATATTCTAAAAGCAACACTATAATTATGTGTTTTTGTGGCGTGAGTGACCTTCACTACATCCAGCCTACCTTTAAAAATGTTTCCATTATTTACCACAGTGTTGAACTATGTTAAATTAACATTTTCCTGCTGAACAAATTCTCCATACTTAATTCTTAGTATCACTGTATACCATAGAAAAAAATGATAGTCAGGTTTTTCTTTAGCAGCAGAAAATATATGTAGACGTATATTTATATACTTTTTCTATTAATACTATAATGTTTGTAACATTTAATAAAAATATCATTTTTAAACCTACTTTCCATTTCTTCAATTGTTTACTATTTCTAAATCAGCATAGCATACTGGAAAACAATCTCAAGCTCCATGCTACTGTTTAAACTCAGATGTAAATATTACCTTTGTAAGTATATATTTACATAGACCACCATATTTTCACCTAAAACATGTAAATTATATTTGCATTTTTCTATTATGTATTTATAAATTTTTATAGGACGTCTTCACTACTAGTTAGACATCCACCACCAGAAAATTAAAGTACATTGTTTTTGCCTTTATTACAAATGACAATAAGTATTTACTCAATATTCAGCTGGGTATTGTCGGATAGCAGAAGAATGACCCAGCAGTGTGCATTTGCCATGATAACTTAGCAATACCAACCTCTACCACCAAAGCAGGATTCTTGCCTAATGTACCACTAGGATGGGCTCTGCTTCTCATTTCTCTCATTTATCTTAAAAAGGTGATGAGCTATTAAATATTTTTGATTCAGTTAATGCACTAAATATTTCATCCTAAATTAAATTAGCTACAGCTCCTAGTCCAAATATTTAATAAAATGGTGATTTCTAAGTATACTATCCAAAGACAATGAAAATGAATTTTAAAGATTCAAACTTTACTAAAATCACAGCAGAACAACCCAACACTCTTTTATGGATATAGAAGTACAAATTTGTTAAATTCTGTCAGCTTTCAAAATTCAGTAGATGATAGGATTACAATACTACCGTTAGGAATGTGACTATTTGTAGAACATGGGTAAGTAGTCTCTCACTGAAGATTTCTTACTTCAGCAACTAATGTGGAGGAACTGAAAAGACAGTTGAAATGATGCAACAGAAACTCGAAGTCAAGGAATTAAGGAAGTGGGGAAATTGAGAAAAACAAATTTTTAGAAAAGTATTGTCCCAGCCTGCTCAAAGAATGTCACCATCAGGCTCAGATTATAGATTTTACCAGTTAATTAAATATCATTCCAAATACTTAGTGCAGACAAATGGTGGCAGAAAAGGTAATATTCTAGAAACAGCCTAAATGACTCAATTTGGTATCAAGTGAGGATGTCCCAGATGAAAGCGATTTTAAGTGGGGGGAATAAGTAAGGGTGGGGAACGCCAGCAATACAGATGTAAAGCATCCAATTACACCACACTCTCAAGAGAGATATGAAATATTTAAAAACACAGGACATTTCATTCTTGCCTTATAACCAGAATGCTTAAGAGCCACTTGAGATCAGAAGTCCTGGCATGCTAAGAAATAATGTAAATTATAAGAATGCAGCTCCATATATGTTTATCTACAAGCAGCTCCCAGAACCCCCTCTCTTTTAAAGGACACACAAACTATTATTTTTCTTTCCAAAGTTACTTATAAACTTCTCCTTCCCTGCCCCCAAGGTTTCTTTGTTTCTCACCACACAGGGGGCATAGCCTCTTCTGCATTCAAGCCCTTCTCTTTGCTCCAGGGCATGATGCAGAAGGGAAGGTAACAGCTTTTATAATTAACTGTGCACCTCTAAAGGGCATTTCTCAACTCCACTGGAGAATACCTGTGAAGCGCAGAGAGGCTTCAGAGAATCTGAAGGAAATGAAAGCAGAGTTGCCAAGCAGACACTGGAAGGAGAGAGTTTTCTCCCCAGAATACATTGAGAGAGACCTCAGTGGTCTCTGACCTGCAGGTCAAAGCACAGGGCTGGCTGAATGAGATTTCCTAACTGGCTCTTTTGTAAAGGTTAGCTGGTTTCTGATCCAACCTTCTGTGTACGAACAAAGCTTCAAAATCATCCAGGAAGCTCAAAACTTTCTGAGTCAAGGTGAAATGTCAAAGCAGTGGAGCCTTAGGCAAAAAGCAAGCATCACTTATTGGGAGCTTCTGAATTTTGAAAATCTGAAGTATTTCTTGACAATTTCTTGAGCTGGCAAGGAGAGAACCATCCAGGAGCTTACTGGAGGTTTAGTTTTATTTTTCCACATGGGACTGTGTCGTTCACCCTAAAAAACACTGCTACACAGAGGGCATGGTTCTCTTCTGTGGATGCTCCTCATACCATCTCCATATATGTTTCTCACTTTTTCCCTGTTCATGGAAACTAAACAATAAGCACTGTTGTTCGTATGGAATCGTATTTTTTAACTACAGCTTTTAAAACTCTGCTTTTCTTAACATCTCACCAAGGGATTTGCATTCTTAGTGATTTAAATCTCTGCTGATATCCTTATGAACCATCAACTGGGTCATACCACCTTAAAATTTAAAGTAATTTTGCTATTTTAATGTAACAGGCATGTGTCCTTCTGGAATTCTGAACCTTTCTCCAAGTGCTGCCCAGTCGTTTGGTATTGATATAATCACCAGGAATGCTTAGCCTACATGCTGTCTGAACTAGGAGGAATGAACAACAAGGGCCTTCCCCCACCCGCAGCCCCCGTATTAAACATGTGCCGAGTTCATTCAAACACACAAGAGCCACCTTCTGCCACTTAGCTTTACAAATAATCCCAGACTGATACAGATCATTTAGTTTCATATCATATGACATGATGCTAAATCTAGGGAATATGTGTTTCCCCACTATCCCTTCAAGATACATGAATTATTTAAGAAGTAAACTTTCCTACCCGTAACAGGGACTGGGATTCATCCTTGGACTTGTTTTCCCCGGATGCAGGATACTGCTGGGTGAGGGCCCCGGACTTCTCTCCGCCAGTTGGCACCCCCTGCAGGAATCCCTTGGTCTCCACAGCCAAGCCATAGATAGGTCTCGCCAGATGGGCAGCTTCTACATTGGGGCTATCCCGTAGAGTCTTTGTCTGCTCTTGGGTGCCGGACACGGGCGTCAGAAGCCCCAGGCTTGCTTGAGTATAAGATGGACTGCCCCGTAGGATGTCTGCCCCTCTCCAAGTCATGTTGCGAAGGTCATCACTTGAACTCTCAGTCCAAACTTTTTCTTTCAGCCCATCCTTATCTTCCAGTTTCTCCCTCTTCACCACACTCTCAGAAACTGGCTCTCCCATTTTAGAGTCTGGATTGAGCAGACTGTAGACCTTGAGGTCAATTTTGGGCTCTTCCTTAATGGTGGATACAGCATGACCTTCCTCCTCACCGTTGGCTGTAGTGACATCCTGTTCCTGACAGTGAACAGTGTTGAAATGCTCCAGTAGTGACTGAGTATCAGCAGCTGTGAAACTGCACTGACGGCATTTGTAGCAGCTGTGTGCTCTCCTGGAGAAGAAGAAAACAGTCATTGGAAACCTAGCATTCTCAAGGGCTTTAAAAAAAAGTCTTTAAGCACCTGAATTTTATCTCCTGTAATGTAATAGGTAGAATGAAATGTAATATTCTCAACACCTAGAAATTGGAATGTAATTAACTGGCATTTTCAGTTCTATATAAAGAAGGTGATGTTCCCTTTTGTTATATTAGCAGTGACAGATACACACATGCACATGCATATGCGCACACACTACAGTTGATTCTCATTAAAACTGGTTGGTTTGCTTTATTATGGAAAGATCTGCCTTGTTCATTTTACCTTGATTGGGTTATAATATGTTTGATATTTTTTAAGTAGTCATACATTTTACACCTGATTGCATCAATAGACTTTTCACTTTTTGTTTATTTCAAGTAAGTTCTGATTTTTTTCACTGTATTATAATTTCTCATTCAGAAGTGCTTTGTACATATTTTATGTATATTAAAAGAAAATCTACCTAACTGATTACAATGTCCCTACCATTACATTTAGCCCCAATAAAATATGGTGGAGTGACCTATGTAATGTAGTAAAAAAAGACGCATTAAAAATATAAGATTTTACTAAACAAATTCTATCTATAAAGACATATGAGCACACAACACATGGAGTGCCTTTTGGGTGTAAGGAGTATAGTAAGTACTATACAGCCATATTCATTTTAAAAAATGTGTAAAGGGCCTCCCCGGTGGCACAGCAGTTGAGCGCTGGGTTGCGAAACTGCCCGCAGCCTCTGCAGTGCCCTGGCCGCTGGGCGCAACAGACCTCTCCTGCCGTGCCCGCTGCTCCCCTCAGCAGTGTATTTGTCAGTCTACCTGTTCTGTTCCCCGCTCTGACTCTGGTGAATTCTCTCGCCGCCCCCCCCTTCCCGCGCTTCTGACTGCCCAGTGCTTGTATAAATAAATAAATCTTTTTAAAAAATTATAACTGCTCTTTAAAAATATAAAAAAAAAATAAATAAATAAAAATGTGTAAGTGTGTATCTATGTGCATGTGTGTTCAAAAGGCATAAACCAGGAGAACTTGTTGAAAATCAGCATTTTCTGATATAAAAGACAGAACAGTGACTGTTGAATTAGGGCAAACATTCGACTAACGAAGATCAAAGGAAAGGTACACAAATGCTTTAGAATAAGGTACACTTTCTTTAACTATAAAAGCTTTGTAAGGCTCTAAATAAATGCTCTGTAAAATTACTTATTACTTTGCCAGGTACCGAGTACACACTGATGAATGAAAGACAGTTCTCCATAGTTGTTCAGGTCTATTCAGGAATAACAAGTTTCACATTAGGCTAAAAACAAATATCTAAGTATAAAGAGTGAGATGTACTGAAAATGACAAGAATAGGATGGCGATAGTGTGGAATGACTGCAGAGGCCAGTCAGGAAGGCCTTTCTGAGGAATGAAACCCAGGGATGAAAACAAACTATCCTTGCCTGGAGGAGCTAGAAGGGGGAAAGAAAGCGCATTCTAGCATGTCTGACACACTGAAAAGAGGCCACTGTGGCTTTAGAAGAATAAATAAGAGGAAAGCTAGAGGGTCATCTAGAACTTTGTAGACCATGATGAGGAGGAAGATTTTGACATAGGTTAAGGGAAGCAATTGCAAGGTTATAAACAGGTGGGTAGCATGGTTAAATGCATGTGTTAATCCCTTTGGGACTGTAATAGTTTTTGTATTGAATAACTTAATCCCTTTATGGGACCTGTTGAATGATGGCTGAAAATCCAACAGAAAAAAAAGTGTTCCTATTTTGTGGAAACAAAATTGAAAGATATTAATATGTGTAACAAAATATGATCCAATGAGAAAAACTCTTAAAGTCACAATTCAACCAGAAAATGGTTATGATTACAAAGTTCCATCATATTGACCAAAAAAAAAAAAAAAAAAAAGGGATTTATCAGGATGCTTAAAGGTCAAATAATACCCAGGAAATACCCTAGTAAAAATATAACACATAATCTATTGGAATCATGAAAATTAAAAATAAACAAACAAACTCCAGGAAGCACATTAGCAGGCTGGGACTGACCTTCACCCAAAGACAGTGCTAAGGAGCTCTCTGTCCCTGGCACAGTAAGTTTATGGTTTCCTGACAGGGTGGGGGCTCTGCTTTATCTGTGTTGGATTCCTGTCTGTAAATTAAGATTATACATTGGCACTACTACTCCTACCAAACCTGGTAGCTCTACAAATCCTAAAAAAATTACAGTGGTTTTATTTCAATAACTATTAATACTAGAGGAATAAGAAGGAGAAAATATCACATGTGAGAGAAGATTCGAGAGCACCACAGGTCAAAGTTCTTTTTAAATGGCTCACTCATCGTTCTTATTGGAAGAGCAGACTCTAGAGCCAGAATGTTTGAGTTTCAACTTTGGTTTCTTGTGTACTATGTATGTGAGTTTATTCTTTAAAAGATTTATTTATTTGTGCATACAAGAATTGGGGTACAGGCCAGAGGTACAGGGGGTGAGAGGATTCACAGAACAGGCAGATCTACCGAAATACACTGCTGAGGGGAGCAGCAGGAGAGACAGGAGAGGTCTGCTGCGCCTTGTGGGTCACCTTCCTGTCTGGGGATCAAACTCATGCTACAGTGGCTGCAGATAGCTTCATGGCGCTGCATCTTAACCCCCTGAGCCACCAGGAAGTCCCTGAATATGTGACTTTAGATAATTTACTGAACCTGCCTCAATTTCTTCATGTGCAAAATGAAAATTAGTAATACCTCTTGATAGAGTTCTTGTGAATAGTAAGCAAATAACACTCTAGTAGTAAGTAAATAAGAAAGGGTCAGCCAGTATAAATCCTAACATTAAATAAAATCCCCTACCATGTAAATCTGCACTCTGCACTCTTTGCTCAAAGTTTAAACTTACAAAGTGGTATTTTGGTATTTCTTTTTCCATTTCCCCATATACCTAAACATGAAAGAGATCATTTTTAAAGCCAAGTCTATTTCCTCAAAAAATCTTTGCTTTAATACATTGCAAACAGACTATAGTCTAATGCCTTTTCTGCTTCATTCAGTGGTGTTCAATGGCTTGAAAAATTGAGCAGTTTAGCAGTTTACTGCTTAATTGTCAAAATCTATTCTATTTCATTAATAGTAGTCAGATACGGAATCTTAAGATATTGAATAACAAAGATAGAAAAGACATTACCTGTGTTTTATTAAAGCCTTGGGAAACAGGACGCCTCTTGAGTATATTAATTAAGGTAGTTCAGAGCCATAACATACCTGATCACACAGATTGTCTCTTAAATATGTGACTTAGCCTGCCATCAAGAACTATTCCGAGCCATTCTAGGCCTCCATTAAAAAAAAAAAAAAGGAGAAAGGCATCCAGCCCTGACCTATTATTTGACTGACACTTCCTCCCAAATATGCAAGATCCTGGGCCCTTACCCAGACAATGGATTCACACTCAGAGACAAAGTGTCTGGGGGAGTCTAGGTTTTCTAGTTGAAGTTTCTGTCCCAGTGGACAACTCCCTGACTCCTTAGAGGTCTCTGAAAGAGCTGCCCCAGAGAGGAGATCTTGATGTAACTGATCTGAAACCTTCTATGACATGGATGCTGGAGAACAGTCAGAATATAAACAGTAGGGATCGGTGTAAAGCAAAAAAGGAGACAAATTACAGAGGCAAGATTTCAGTGAGGATGACGTTTTATATTTAAAAGGATAACATATTTTAACAGAAAGGATAGTGAAATAGATGATCTCACATTCTGCTACAGTAGAAAGAAAGCCCCTTTCACAGATAATAAGAAGGAGAAATCATGATCTGCCCATTAAACCCATATCAAGTCAAGAAAACAGGATTTCTCCCTCCAAGATCAAAGTACTATGTCTCTGGCTTCTGTTGTCCAAATTCTTAACTTTAAAAAAATTAATAGGGCCTCCCTGGTGGTGCAAGGGGTTAAGACGAAGCAGTGTCTGCAGCCACTGCAGCAGGAGTTGGATCCCCGGCCAGGGAACAACCCAAATGGCGCAGCAGACCTCTTCTGTCTCACTGGCTGCTCCCCTCAGCAGTGTATTTCAATCAGTCTGCCCATTCTGCTCCCCACTCTGTCTCTGGTGAAGTCTCTCACCGCCCCCCCCCCAACATGCCTGGACTGTATGCATAAGTAAATAAATCTCGTGCGCATCAATAAATAAATCTTTTTTAAAAAATAAAAGAAAATAATATTACTGACAAGCTGGAAAATGAAAAAAATGGAGCATGAAAAGTGAAAACCTGAGTGGCCGGGGAAAATCTAACAGAAAAGAGACTGACAAGAGCAACGGTTTGCAAAACAGGCTGTAAGCAGTGCTGGAACTTCAGGAGTTATGTAGTAATGCAGATTCCAAGGCCTTTCCTTGCCCTACTGAGTCAACATCTCCCATGCATTACCTGAAAGTGTGATTTTTTTTTTAAAGATTTAATTTATACACACAATAACTGGGGTGCAAGCCAGAGGTATGGGGGAGGGTTGAGAGGATTCACCAGAGACAGAGTGGGGAACAGAACAGGCAGACTGATGAAATACACTGCTAAAGGGAGCAGCAGGGAGACAGGAGAGGTCTGCTGCACTACATGGGTCACCTCCCTGACTGGATTGAACTTGGTGCTGCAGTGGCTGCTGATAGCTCATAGTGCTGTGACTTAACCCCTTGAGCCATCAGGGAGGCCCTGAAAAAAAGTGTGACTTTTAACAAGGTCCACAGGTAATACCAATGCAGGGGCAAATATCTCCACATTGCCCTGGTAGAGCCAGCATAGCTCTAAATAAGGATCACACTCCCAAGACATCCCCCACCTGCTGAGACTTAAACAACACAGGGCGTGCCCCTTTTGTCTTTGTTATTCAGAATCTTGGCTATTCTAAAAACTCTGGGGTCTGACTACTATTCAAATAAAGAGTAAAGCTTGACAATTAAGCAGTAAACAGCTCAACTGCTCTTTCAAGCCA